TTTTTATCGCTCTGTTCCCTTTCGAGGGTTCTCTCGACGATGTTGAAGAGAACCCCTTTTTTTTGTCGGTGGAAAACAGTGGTCTGTTCACGATTGCTCGACCATTTCCTTCGTTTCTTCTTTCTCTTTTTGGTGGTTGATCGGATAGATTGTCGGAGTATTTGGAGAACGGAGAAATTCGTCCATCGTGAAGGAATTCTTTGTTTCGTACAATTTTATACAATGCGCTCTTTGTGTATTATATTTTCGATGAATTTTTCATACAGAAAGAAAAAGATATAAATTAGGATCTCGTTTCAGGCGGCTCTTTATCTCGCAATATTTCAAGGCTACGATTAAAAGTCATAGTCGGGAGACTTATCGCGGTGGGGTGGATTTTCAGTCGGCTTTTTCTTGCTCGGCGAACAAAAGAGGAGCCCCGGTGCTCGGGGTAATTAGAATCGACGACAAAACCGTGGCACGCATTTGGAACAGTTTGTAATGGAGATTAATCGATCCGAGGTGGCAGCCTCCGTGGTGTCATTCCCTCTCGTTCGCCAAGAGATGTTCCATATTCCGGCCGAAATTATCCTCGCCCTCCGTTTATCGTCGCGGACGGAGGAAATCTAGTAAGGGCGGCGTGAAAAGAGAGCAACGCGTCGAACCGCGTCGCGGTGTTAAGTAAAGCGTACGAAAAAGAAGAAGAAGATGAAGAAGAAGAAGAAGAAGAAAAAAAGGAACACAGTACGAGTCAAAGCAAAGACGACGAGAGTGAGAGAGGGGGTGGTGCGCGGTCCACGAGGGGGTTGGGAATAAGGTGTATCAGGGCGAGGTAACAAACAGGACGGTAGCAGAGGTGGTGAAAGAAGATAGAGGGCGCCTGCGGGTAGTTCGAAAGGGGGTTGTAGCTGGCCATGACGTCACCAGGAGCGTCATACAGCCACCCCTTCCACCCTCGATCAATGACGCGACCTTGTTGCCCTTCTTCACCCTCCGCCATCCTCTGGCAAACCTACGTTACCCCTTCGGGCTGAACCAAACCCGTCCCAGTACTCAAAGGGGCGGCGGCTGTTTCTGCAACCTGGCAACCCCGTCTATATTTAGCATCCATTCCGTACCCCACCACCACATTCTCTCCTCTCTCACCTCTCTCTTTCATTCTGTCTACAACTCTCAGCCTTCTTCTCCGTCTATCTCCTTCTCACCCCTCTTTCTCCCTCTTTCTTTCCCCTTCGACTGCGTCACAGTCTCTCTTCCACCCCGTCGCTCTCCATGATCCGGCCCGAGTTCTCTCTTTCCGTCTCGCGACCCTTGGCTGCCTCTCCTTCTTTCCCGAGACGATATAAACAAGCATTCTGCGACGGCGCCAACCAGCGAGAGGCGGCGGCTCGAACGACGCCCGATCAACAGACTCCGAAGCGAGGCTTGGGCTGATAGTGTCCTGCAGCCTCTTTTCCCTTGCTGCTCTAAACGTTTGATGATCCTTCATTTTTCCAGGATCTAGAGGTGGGTCTGTTTAAGAAACAGGGAATTATCGAACATTCTTCGCGTTTTTGTTCATTTTATTCAGCTATACATTTGTTGATTTTAGAAGGGAGAGCATTGGGTGCACGAGTACTTTTGATTAATGTTTTCAGTGAGGAATTTTATGGTGGGAAATTATTGAACGGCTACTGTCCCATGATTTTTAGATGCTGAATTGTCATGAATTTACAGGGTCGTAGTTTCATTCGAGGCTGTGCAAAACGATGCGTCTTTTGTTTATTGCTCTGTCGGGAGAGATACGTAGGTTTTACGAGACGGCCTCTATCCAGATGTAGATAAGACTAGGAACGATTCATCGTGAGCGAGAAGGGTATCGATAAATCGGCGCGATAGTTTTGAATGGTAGTGTCAGCTCGATGGACGGACCTTCTAAATTTGCTGGGTAATGTCCTTACCCTTTCGATTCAATTCCGTGCCCATTGAAAGCGTCCTTCTATGGAGTTCGATTTGATCTATCTAAATATTTCATTTTATTCTATTTCAAGTTTTATCTCATCTTCTATTTTAATATTATCGGACAATTTTTATAACAATTGTTTAATTATTTGTCTCGTGGTTAATTCTGTGGAACTTTTTCTACGCGAAATGTCTTTAAATTTACCCTCCACGGTCTTTAAATCCACAACTTTTTTTAATAAAACCTTGCTCCCTCAACATTTTTGTTTGCCCTCCGACGAAACAATGCACCCTTAATTACACCCATATCACACAGCCGCACCTACGCTTCTACTCTTAAATTTCGGAAACTCATAAAATTCTTTTTGTCTTTATTTCAACTAAGTTTCTAAAATTTTCACGCAAATTCCAAACGAGACTTATGATAAGAAATGAGTAACAATTAATTACTCTTCGATCAATTCTTCCGCGCCTACGGATAATGACAATTTCTATTCGATAAATTATCACAAAGTATCTTATGTCTTTTGCGTTATTTTTAAAAGAGAAGGATTTATTTTTAAGATGTCTGCAAAAATTCCAGCTATTTAAATTCAAGCCCTGACGCGTCTAGCGCGCTCCTCGTCCCGCCAGGTGGACGAAGAGGATCGATACCCGTTCCCCGGTCTTCCGTAGGAAGTTCGTTTAAATTATCATGATTAATGTTTATCGACAAGCTCATCATAGCGGTGTATATAATACATCTGGAGCGTCGTCCCGTCCCGTGATTGGGCCGCATCGATCGTCCGCTCGTTCGTCGTTAGCATGTGAATGAGGCAGCAGCGAGTCGTTCGAATTCAGCTCGGCTAGCGACGGGATAGCAGGGGGTCGCAGGATCCATCGATCACCGGCCATTTGGCTGAAATAATTCGAATGCAAATGCAACCGAATAGACGACGTCGCGTCTACCTTTACGAGCCCGGGTCTCGCAATGGTCATCGTAGAAAGGATCGCGAAATTACTTAGCTTCTGCCTGGTCGTAGAAGCTTTCAAAGCGAACGGTTTCGCGATAATCACGATTTAGAGAGTTTCGGAAATTCTCTCGCCTTGCTTTTCATAGTTTCGGACGCGTTCTCAGTCGGATGAAACTTTGCTAGATCCTTCTTTGCACGAACACGATGATTTTCCTCCTTTACGCTCGGGGCTGACTTTGACGAGGATACCTTTTCCACGAGCGTTGCTCGCTTTGAGGCTGATTCCGAAAACGGTCATTTCGATTCCTGAGATATTAATTGCATTCGGACTGAATGTTGTGTAAAATAAGGCAGTTTAAGAATTAACCCTCGGACGGCGGACCATGGAGAGAGCCACAATTTTAATTTAATTTTGTATTTCTATTATTTTCGTTTGGTTGAAAATTATACATTTAACTTTAGGTTAAATGTGGATCACGATTGACCCAGGCTCGGCTATTCAAGGGTTAATTAGAAAACAAGCGTAATTTTCACCCCTTAAATTTTCTGTAAATTAGTAAATTCATGTCGAATATTTTTTCAGGACCATCTATCAAAATTGATTATTTTTGAAAGAAAACTCTAATTAAAGTATCAAGAATGATATACTTATATCACTTAATAGAAATGTTTATACACTTAACCACGTTTCTTCTGGAACGCGAAATTTCCATCTCGATGAACTAAATTTCAAAAATTAACATAGCTGTTTTGATAGCAGAACGATGTTTTTACTGAATGGTCGGTGAAAAATGATAAGTTAAAAATTACACGGTAAAAGCATCGTATTTTACAAGAGAATCTATCGCATTGCGAAAGTTTAAAGCTCGCGAGGCAACAATAAAAAAGACGTTCTTTTTTCCATCGCTCAGCTAAACAGCAATTTACCTTAATTTCTGTACTTAATACAAAGCGAGGCGTTTCTTTATTATCCCGGGCAAAACGGTTTTTACGTTGCACTTATCGTAAAAGCAGATTTTCTGCTGCTTTATTATTCATTATATGATAATTCGTCGAGGATGCCTCTTCGTTTCGCTTCGCTGTTTTGTTCTTTAATAAAAAAACACTTTGAACGGCCTGTATTTTACGACGGAAACTCCTTTATACCGTGTTACCTTTTGCCGAAACGCGGATATTTTATACAATATTCCGGTTTTCCTGGTGGCGAACGACGCATTCAGAAAAGTGTACCGGGATTTCTGACAGGTCTCTGCATAAATCATTGCCGGTGCTTCTGCATTGCGGTCGGCTGATTTGCAATGGACGAATACTTAGACACTTTGCAACCTTTGATCGCGGAAAGATCTGCTTATCCGAAACGCTTTACTATGGTTTAACTTTACCATTTTCCCTTTAATATAAGAAACTGAATTTATCAAAGAAATTATGTGTACGAGAGTCGCATTCGAAGTTGTTGCCCACAGCTTTCATTTGGAACTTTCCTGTAAGTTATCATATTTTATGCGACAGATCAAATTTAAAATGAGTTCATATCTTTTTGAACTTTAAGTGCATAATATTTTCTTACTTTAAAAAGAAACTTATTCAATTTTATTATTTACTTATTTTGGAGAATAATACCTAGATTCGTAAATTAATTGTTTAACATCGCGAATTTCTATTACAAAATTCGTGTCGTTTAATAACAGTAATTAATAATAATTAATAATTATGTATTTCCATAACGAGTGTATTTGCTAAATTCGAATTTATTTCGGTACACATATGAAGCTCAGAGAAATCAGGTCCAATTTCATCTGGATACGTGTAACTTCTACCATAAAGTAATTAGAGCAAATATTTGCTTTACGAATGAAATTCTGACTATCGATCGAACTTTTGACGGTAACCAATATTAAATTACAAATTAGTTTATCGGAGAGAGAATAATTTCACGTGGAACATGAAAATAGTGTTTTCTTAATGGTGCACAAAATTATAAACAATTTTTAACATCATACAGTTTGACGATGTTTTGCTTTGGAAAAAGAAAATATTAATTACGAAAATTAATATTTGACAGAGTGATTCACTCTGTTTGAAAATTGATTTAAAGGGGAGGTAGATCGAATTGAAAGACATCACGGGTTACATTTAAATAAACGATCCTGTATTGTGACAAATTTGATTGGTATACAACGGTTTACAAGGGAATCGATCGTATCATGCCACGGAATGGTACGGGAGATGACAAAGGATACTCGAATCGAAGGTACGAGCGTAATTCTTATGCAGCGATGAGTGAAAGCGCAAACTGGAAGACGCTATTTTACTTCTTTTATTTCGTCCTTCATTTTTAGACTGCGAATATTTATGCATTTTTTATGCATGAAAGCATGCAAAACACACACAAAGTCTATATTATATCTAAAATCACGTTTATACTATATAACAAATTACTTGATAATTTTATTATAATTTGTTATAAGATTGTTCATTTGCGATCAAATCAGATTTCTCTAGGAAAAATGTCGATGCCCCCCCTCTGTAAGTTTTCCAGGCTCCCACCCCACCCTATAGGTGACCAGGGGGAGAATGGCAATGTGTGGGAGAGGGCCCCATACATATAGGTCTGTGGTGGACCACCAAAATATTGAATTAATATTTATTTATTATTCATATTTCTCAGTTGTATTATACCATTTTCTGTCAGAATTACTTTTAATATTAATATCGTCAAAATTAGGATTTTGAACATCTCTGCTTCCCTTGTATTATCATTTCTCCTAGGAAAGCCTGATTTGATCGTAAGTGTTGTAATTTTTTTTCCTATTGTTATTACAATTTAAAATAACAAACTTACATTATAAAAATTGCAGAACACATTTAGAATACATAGAATGTTTTAAATTGAAAGAATGAAACGATGCTTTTAATCGGTGTAAAAAAGACGATATTGTATAAAAATATCTATTTGCATGAACATCCGCAATCTATTTATCATATTTGACGAGTATGCTCGTTTATGGGTAATCATGCTTCGTTTGGAGTTTCATTTTACGCTTTTAGTCTCTTCGCGCTTTTTTATTCACGGTTCGTCTGACCAGATATCTGGTTATTCTACTGGATCTCTGTAAATACTCTGATCGAAAGCTAAAGCTTGTCTGAATATGAAATGATTCATTGATGAGTGGTCGAATGTTTCTAGAAGATCGATTTTCTTTGATCGTGTATAAAATTGAAAAATTTATTAATTTTATGTAATAAAATCAGCTATGGTTTTCATTTTGTAAAAGGAGAAATATTTACAGTCATCCAGCATAGAATATAACAATACAAAATTCTGTCGGATATTTTGTGCTTTGGTTTTTAAGTGTTTTAATTACAAAAAAGATGAATTATCTTAAATGTCGGAGTAAATACGGAGCTGTTCTACTGGATCCCTCTAAACACTCGACGTTAATTTTTCTATCGAATATAAATTAATTTAAATTAATTTCCTTTGAATTTATAAATATAACAAAGAAATTGTGTAAGGTATTGCATTATACCTTGGCTGATTATACGTTGACTTATTCCACTGATTAAATTGATTCCTTTTCAAATTAACGAAAAGTTCATTAGTTTTTTCTTCGCTTTTTAATTATTTCTCATAAAGAAGAAATAATATAATATATTCTATTATTCTTTGTCTGATTATGCATTGATCTCTTCCACTGAGTTTCCCTGAATATTAACATGCAACTCATTCGATCAGAATTTATTTACTCAGACATAGTACTATTAATTTTTCTACCATTCATAAATCAAAATTATCTTATGTTCTTGCGAAGTATGTACAGTTATCCAGTACAGAACATGAATTTCGTGCTTCACGTAGAATAAAAAGAATACAAAGTGAACGAAGTAAAAATCGAGCTGCACTCGTAACCACTTTGGGACGGTATGCGGGGACTGTTACATCGTTTACTTGTCAGACACTAGTTTCTTTCTTAAACTTCGAGGGTATAGAAAAAGTTACGACGAACAGCAACACGGGTATGTCAACGACAACGATGGGATTGGGGGGGAACAAAAACATCATCATGATTTTTCAATTTCATGCCACTCGAATCAACTTTGTTATCTGTACATCTTCTCTCGAATCATTTCCTCCTTTGAATTGTTTACGCTTCCGCGTAGCGATTGCTGCAATCGTACAGGGTGTCATCGAAATAATGATCATGATTTTGTAAAGATGATTCCCTTTTGTGAGGTAGGTTTATTTTTCGAAGCAAAGCTTGATAAATTTAATAAACACTTTTACACGATGGAAGTACCATGATCCTTCTATTTTTTAATTTAAATTTCACATTTTCTCGTTTGCATCATTAATATGATATTAATGCTATTTTTAATTTTCTTACTCGATTATATTAAATTTTTAATGTCGATCGCAATCAATTAAAGGAATATTAAATTGAAATTTTCTGACTGGGTTTATTTTGCAAATATTCAATCAATATATTATGCAGAATTACCTGAGTAAGTCATGATCATTATTTTTCTGAATACCTGGTACAATTTCGAACGAATTAAAGTGATCGTGAGAACACGTGCGGCCTTCGATCAAGACGAGTTTCTCCCGAGTTTCTCTTCCGAACCGTTCTCGAAATGTATCGCGTTACCATCGAACGGCTTTCAAACCCGATATACGCATCGTCTATCGTTATTAACCGGTGATAAATAACAATTAGTCGTAATAAGAAAATCTGGCGATATGATAGGTAGATCGGTCTCGTCGCTGCCACGTATAAAACTCGCTCGGCTCGATCGTCTTTCAGTGGAAGTTTCGAAAGGGTTGCATGGAACTGAACACACAAGAAGATTTCTTCGTAGATTAATTGGCTCTGTGGCAGTTTGATTTGTTTAAACAAATACGAACGGCTAGCTAACTTGGGCTCCAGAAAAATAGTTTTATACGTCGCAACATGCAATTTGGCTCTGCGATTTCTCTCCCCCTTTTTGTACGGTGCTACGATTACTCTGGGATGTTTATTATTTTTAATTTTGATTGCAGTTACTCCTTTCAAATTATTATTTCAAAATATAAATTATTCTTCTTTTCAAAAATTCCTTTTTTCATGTAACAAAAATAAAAAAGTAGGAACAATTAATAGCCAAGCTCTTAAAAGAGTATTTTCCAGGCTCGAAGAAAACATTTGCCTTGTCTATACTTTTGATTTTTGATTTTGATGCGAGTCGAGAAGTTTATATTTTGATTTCTAATTTTGACATAGCTCGATGTAACATAGTTGAATTTTCATATTCTGAAGAAACCTTCAGACCTTTCAAGTTCCCTCCCTGATCTTGCATTAAGACCCAACCTAACTCCCCACCTTTCAGCGTATCGTTAAAAAGTTCCTTATTTCTTTGGAGTAGCTCGTAGCACCGGATGTTAGATTGTCGGGAGAGATATCGTCTTTTGGCACGAAAAACCTTGGCCGTAAACGTTGTTCCTCGAGCCAGATCACGGCGATCCGACGACGCAAGGAGGTCTGTTCATAGCTAGTGTAAAAATTGTGTCATTCGACGAAAAGAAGAAACGACGTTCCCTCGGCTCGGATCACCGTCAACTGGCATTTATAGGTACTTAATAATGCGTTTACACGATATCGTTAACCTATGTGCCATACACGCTCGTAACACGCTCGTATCTCGTTCATTCACGTCTCTCAATAAACGTCTATACGTATGTATATTTATATTTATATTTGTATATATATATATTTATATTTCTTATTTATATTTATATTATATACGGAGAGATAAAAGTCGTAAGGGTACGAGTCAAATTTTGTTAAAGTATTGACTTGTGTTTTTAGATAACTAGTAAGTAGTATAAGTCAACGTATAAGCCAACAGGCAGCAAAACTAATGGAACATATCTAAATTAATTTTTTTTATAATAGATAGGATTCTAATATTTGATATTAGAATTAAAAATACGATGTTTTAATCCCTCTTTAAAAATATGCATGGCATAAAAATAATATAGTTCATTAGAGAGCTTTGAAATCCAAAGATTATTAATTAAATTTTGTCTTTGCTAAATGATCGTATAATTACGAACCAATACCGCTACGACTTTCACCCCATCGTACATTTATCACACACGCATTACTCACGCAATTATACACCATTGTCAGTTAAAAAACGTATCCGCGTCTCAGTAGTGGTGCATCCTGCGCAACGAATAAATCCATCCTCGCGAGATCCACAAAATAGTTTGCACCGGTCGGTGTACACAGTGATCCGTAATCAGCTATAATCGACAATAAAAACGTGGTAATGATACTCAGAATAATGATGATAATAATAATAATAGTAGTGTCCCCACGGTCGACCCAATCTGTCCATTTATCGGCACCTCGGTTCCATGAAACTTCCACGATTCAGGGATCTTCTAGTCATTTATTATTCACCTGGCAGTTTCATCACGGTCGACGCGTATTCTTTACGATACTTACATATACATAATGTGCGCGAGTGTACGTTAAAGGTGTTCAGTGTTTCGCGTGTGTCAGGGTCTCTCGTTCCCCCACAAGGAATATGGCAGTTGAGTATATTCAGTTCGAGTTTCACGATTTGCACATGCACCCACCCCAGGACCATCGAATTCTACTATCGAATCCCGCGACCCTGCTCTCCTCGAACCGTCTCGCTGTTCGATTACAACATATATATATATACAATGTACAAACATGGCCAACAGCTAGGACTCTATCATGGTTCCTCAGCCGTATAACCTCGACCTTCTCAGCGTTTATCAAACGGTTTATTCTTCCTGGTCGGGCTCCTTGCCGATGAATCGATCGTTCCGAAAGGATTCCTGCGATTGATCGTTGCTCGATCTTCCACGATATGGCAGTACGCGTCGAGCGTGGAGGAACTTGAAGTAGAAAAACAACGAATCCCTATGGTGTATCGTTCGAACGATCGTATTCATCGTCAGAGTCTTTGTATAAAACGAAGTTAGAATTATTCCTCGTTATACCGATCTCTGATTACACCAAGGAACCGACTTTATAAATCATCGAGGGAGCAAGCGACGCGAGAATTCGACTATCGGTAAACGCGTTGCGAAAGAGGGTTGTGGGTCAAGGTTATCGTCAATCATCGTCGCTTTTTTTTTTCGAATCTCATGTCGACATTAGATGATGTACTCTGGTTTGTAATCGCCGATACGACCGCTCCAGACACGAGGGGAGGCCGGCGTCCAGGGGACCGCGATGTCTAGCAAGGTGATGCTAGGTCGACGCTGGAACGGCGAGAACCTGGACTTCTTCGGGCTCTTGGGCGGCGATTCCGCGAAGGTGACGCTTCGTCGAGCCGGTCTTCTGGGCGGTGGTGGCGGTGGCGGAGGCAGAACCGCTATCACTGGCGGCGGTGGCGGTGTGGGCAAGGAGATGGCGGGCGACTCACTCGGGCTCTCCAGGTAACTTACACCTGGGTATGCGTATTGCTGTGTACCTGGTCGCCCTCGGTATTGCCAATCGCGTTTGCCGGAGCGTAGTACTGGAAAATTTCACCAATGTTGCGTTAGACGATTGGATTTTCAGAAAATGATGACACGGTGGATGGGGTATGGGGGGATGGGGGAGTGATCGAGGGTGTATCGGTGCACGATTTCCTGATGATTGATGGTTCAACTGCGGATGTTTACGCCGGCTTGTACCTTCGTAGGGAGAAAGAGGGAGAAAAAGTAGATTGTGGTTGGATAGATCGGTTTTATGGCTGCTGGATTGAGGTTTGACGAGATGGTTATTTTTGACGAGAATACCGCTGGAAGGTCTAAGAACGGGATACAGGGAAAATAGAGATTGATAAATCGTTTACGGTACAGGGGTGAAGCAATACTCGTCGAGATAAGTTCCGTGATTTTCTCCTATGTCTTCGTTATTGCTTGTACAGCCACGAGTAGTCATACTATTTTTTTTTCTCAGAAAATTATTTGCTTATTTTTTATCATAAATCTCATTTATGAATTTCAAGTATATATCTAATTAAAGATAAAAAAATTAGAAATTTATATTGTATTTAGCAATTCTTTAATTCACAGAAAATAACAAATTCAACCTTCGATTTTTTAATTGTAATATTTTACTTCTATGTCAATATTCACAATTTTTTCCCACGTATTGCATTGATATTTCATTTATATAATCTATTTATTTTATCTGCATAAACATCCACAGTCTGTAAATAATGATTCTACCAGATTCGTGTGAAGAATTTTTCAAACAACGTGTAAATATGGAATAACAGAAATGAATTAGGTGATGAAATTTATCGTGTAGATAAAAAGTAATTGTGCTGCGAATTGCATAATGTTCATTAGTGTATGGTGAACAATGAGTGCAGTTCTTCTCAGTCGTCGTTCTACCGTCCTGCCTTTTGCACAATGTATTTCGGAAGAAAGCGAGTTCCATTTTTTATTTATTGCGAGAGAAGAGACCAATATAAGCGATTCAGCTCGATTTGCATTCCATATAAGAGATTCATTAGATTGTCACAATAGATTGAAACGATAGATAATAAAGAAAGCAGTACTGGGAAATTGGAAATTCCTTTATGATTAGTGGAAAATTTGTGAAATCGAGGGTAGGTAAATGCGAGCTTCTTGTAAAATATTAAATTCGAAGAATTCTGTGTAGATTATAGAAACTTGTAGCAAACATTCTGAATACCTACAAATTAAGATTAGTGATTATAGAAGCATAGCAAATTAATATTTGTAAGCACGGATATCAATGACAATTTTGAAAATTCTGAAAATTTCAGGGAGTTTGTAAGGTTTCACTCTTATCTTTTAATAATTAAAGATTTTGTAATTCTGAAAGGTTTTACTGATACGAGTAGAGATTTTTACAGAGGTCCAAAGTTACACTGACAAGTGATTTATAATTTCCCCTCTGTGAAATTTTCTTGAATTTTTGGTGTTTTTGATATGCTCAAAATCCTCTGCAAAGAATTATTCAAATTCTTTGAAATTCTTTCGATTTTCTGAAGTGTCTAATTTTCAAGAATCCTTCAGATTGTTGATATATCGTTCCATGAAATTTTCCACCATCCTTAAAAAAAAAGTATTAATGTAACGTTCATCATTCCAGTAAACAATTTATCTTCTGCGAAATATGTATCTGAAAATTTGGAGAAATTAGTTTCACAGTAATTTGATATATTGTTTCATTGTCGAGGTTTCTTCAGAGTTTTCGACGTATTTTGTGAAGTAAATGTAGTCTAATGTATAAGCATAACAGTTGTTTAGAAGCGACATGCGATTCGACAAATCATTTCTCATTTGCATTATCTAAATAATTGCTTCAAGCCATGCTCGTTCCGCGAATTGAAGCCAGCCTTTTCATGATATACAAAGCTGTTCAGGTTAAAAGAAAAGTATGGAATAAAAGCAGGAGGTAGAAGGACGGTTTTGATTAAATAGATTCTGGAATGAACTGAATTTAATTAAAAATTAAATTTAAATCTCGATGGTCGTCCCTTTGTTAACAAGGAATGTAAAAACAATTATTACCAAAAGTATTAATTAAGTGTCGATATTAAAGATACAAATTTTATTTTATTTTATTAATTTTTCATTCACGTGCACGATCAAAATGCAAAAATTATGTACGTGACTTTGAAATGATACAAAACAGACGGTGAAAAGTGAATGACAATGGTGAATCTTTTGATAATGATCTATAAGAATTAAGGCGAAAAGTAATTATTTTTCTTCTTTATTACCTATGAAGGTAGGGTACAGTATCGAGCACAGTAGGCTTTTCTGGGAAAAATGACATTACAGGAAAAGCGGAAATTCTCAAAACCTTAATTTAGACGATATTAATAATAAAACAGATTTAGAAAGAAAATAACATAATTATTAATTATTATTAATAATTAAATCAATTCAAATTTTTCCGCGCGAACGTGTATACGCAAGTGGTGGGGGTAGATAGGCCTATGTATACGGGACCGTCTCCCCTCCAGCGTCAGTCTGCGCGCGGCCGTCAAGCGGAACGGACGGGAGCCTGGGTGGGGGGGAACCTACTTTGCTCGGTACTATACGAAGCGGGGATAGAAAATAGAGGGCACACTAAACGATACGTACGATTGGGATGTTAAATTAACGACTATAGTACTCACTTATGGTCCCGGGAAAGGCGCATGCATCCTCCGTCTAACTCTGCAGTCCGTACCACTAGAGACAAAAACAAAAGTAGAACGAAACGCGCAAAACGAGCAAATTACGTCTTCAGCATCCATCGAGTATATAAAGAGAGATAGAGGAAAGAGAAAAGATAAAGACGAGGATGGATAGATAGAAGTAGAAAAGAGCGCAACACATCCAGCCAGCCGCACATCGCACGCATGTACGTATATATATCTATCTATACATAATGTATATATGTATAATATCTATACTCGTTATTATCTATATATACACGAAGCGTCGTTCACGATCGATGATCGCCCTTGGGTCGATCGTGTTTACTGTTTACCCTCGAGAACCTCGTAAACCGTTCGAAATTCTCGATCGCCTTTACAGCACACTTACACGCTGCTAACTGCATGCCAAACCTACTCTATTTGTTATGTATCTACGTATACGTATGTATGTATTGGTCGTTGTATTGCACGAATGGCGCATAATGCATCCTCGTTACGAGAGTATGTTACACGGTACATCAAGATCGTTGGGTCAAGATCGGGGCAGAGCTAGAAACACCTTTTTTAAGATGAATAGAAACGTACTATTGCTTTTGAAACGAATTTCTATAGTTTTTAAATAGGATTTTTGAGGATTCTATGAAAATTTATTTATTTATTATTAATACAGAAATTCATTTATATTTTGAGATATCTTGATTCCTGCCCACTTATCTATTTCCAACCAACGTTCTATGCAATTTGACTGTTTCTAATGATAGATAAGAAGGAATAAAGGGTGGTAGAGAGTCGTTGTCACTCACCCGGCCATTGTCGAAATCTCGACCACCACCGATCGTCAATCGGGCTTTCGCTTTCATCGCGTCCGACAATGGAATCTGGAAAATATATATATTAGACGATCGGTGGTTAATTTTTAACATTCCAAATATAGGGAAAATTTGAGGTATTTTGAGATTGATGACAATCTGATCGATTACCTTCGCTCTGGTAGCTTCAGTATGCGATTTATAACAGAACTCCAATAGAGCGACTGCTAACGCTAAAAGCAGACCACCGATAAGAATATAAAATATCCCTGCCACGTTGCTCAGGGATAATTCGTTTCTGGACGCGTCCTGTTTATCACCGTGTCTGCATTCTGTTCTGTCGTACCACCATCGGTTCACCAGTTTCGTTAATTCCCCGTTTTCTTTCAACGATAACACTGCTAAATTTATAGGGTCTCTGTAATGTTAAAAATATCGATTAACATTATCTTTTATCCCTTAACGTTAGAACAATTGAAAAACAATAAACTTTAACTCTACTTTTGTTAAATTTTATCAAGAAAAGAAAATAATAGTTCAAGTCACTATATTTTCCATTATTTATATATTTATTTTTTCAACTCGTTTTTCATTTAAAAGTAGGTGTCCATTCACTTTGGTTGCTCTAACGTTAAGAGCTTTTATCTTATCGTAAACATCGCGCGTGGAAGCTGTTAAATAAGAAATTGAAAAATGTTAGGCGAGTGGAATGGAGTGGAAAGATGAAGTAGAACGAGATTGAATTGCAAGTCGAGACGAGGAGAATGGCTCGAGCCGGATCCTTAAGAGGTAATGATACGGAAAAATGGCCGTACGAGTTTTTCTATGCTAATTGAGCCGGGAGGTTTCGATGCAGGGCGACGAGATTTCATAGAGTTTTCCCTTCTAACAAAACCTCGTTGGTTACTCGATCGTACGGAAGAAATAGGTCGAACTCGTCTGTTCGTTTAGTCTACGCATACTACACTTCTTCAGTTTTATGTGACTGGCTTTTTATCCCTTGCAAGATCATTGAAAACATCGAATTTATCGTGGAATAATCAAACGCGTATCTGTTTCGTTTCCTCTGATTCAATCAGCGAATTGAATTTTTAAACTGCGAACAGAACGTGCTTCTGGACGAATTTCAATTTTATTTTACCTCGAAATATAAATAAAATATACTAATTAAATTTCCGAATTTTTTTATCATCAGAAAAATTTGGAAAGATTAATGAATGAAATTTACCTGAGCGGAGATCCAAGTGGCGTCGCGACGCCAAAACCCTTAGCATCAAGGTTCCTTCCAACTTTCATCGTATCACAAGGTTCTCTTTCGTTAATGTACTCATTCTTTGGACTCTCTATCAAAAGGGCATATTTGCCTTTGCTCGTTCTGACCCTTCGTATACCTTCGTCGTACGTTTTAACAAATACATGTTTTCGTGAGTTCATGAATTCCCACATTTTGCTGTACAGATTGATCTGCGATTTCTATAATGAATCCCATCAAAATTCATTAAACCCGTAGAACCTTTGCTTTGAAGTTTCTTTGTACTTTGAATCACTTACGCGAAAGAAATCCCAAGTAGATCCGTGCGAGAGTGTCCCATATTGTACTTCCGTTTGGGAGGCTAGATCTTCCGGTGAATTAATCGGTGCGACCATTCTTTCGACTGTTAGAAACGCGGCCAAATTGGCTGTGTAAGATGAGATTAGGATCAAGGTGAAGAACCACCAAACACTGCCCACGATTCGTCCAGATATTGATCTGTAAAATTGCATTTTGATCAATTATATTTTTGTAAAATTGTATCCTCTCACAGTATATCCTCTTTATTAATAATTATAGAAACCATAATTATTTCGCAACAGATATAAAAATCAACCCTTATTGCGTTTAATTGATTTTACATCGTCATTAAAAATAACATCATCTTGTTGATTCGATTCTCTTCTTCTTCGAAACGAAACTTGCAATCGAATTACAGAGTACATTCTATAGAGACGATGGCGTTTGATAACGAAACACGGGGGTCCTGTCCGAAATCAGGGTGTAGGAAATGCTGGAGAAGGAAGAAAAGCGGATGGTAGATGCGGAGGGAAGCGACGGATGTTGGCGAGACAGAAGGTTTCCACGAAATTTACAATTCATATCGTCGCGGTGCGAATATTTAAACCATTAATCAAGAAGGCTACCGCGACATGGGTGGATACTGCGAAATGTAAATTAATCGAGACCCAGTTTCGAAGTGGTCGAAACGTTGCGAATTTCTTGCAATCGTTCCTTTCACAATTTATGAGACGCCTTAGTATGTATTGCCTTTCGTTGGAAAATGTTCGAAGGACAATTAGAATTAAACAGTGAAATTATTCGAAAAAGTAAAGGAACAAGAAAGTTGGTACCGCTTGAAAACGCACGATTCGGCCTCGGTTGTAGGCGCGTGTCGCTAATGGAATTTTCAAGCTGCGGCTCTTTCAGAACGACACGCTCATTCAAATGAGTTGTTGGCCTAATCGCGGTGCCGATTTACGAAGTTGCTTTAAATTACAACGAGCACGATAGGCTACGAAACGTAATCCGATTATATTGTGATAATTCCAACCAGCCGGTTATAATCGTTGTTTATCCGGCACGCGGTTGTAATTTAAACGTAGGAATTTACAACAGTAATTACCGTGTACCTGAACCCTTTGCTGGTCAACCTCGTAAATTACCTTCTTAAAGGTTATCTTTGTTGTACTATCTGCTGGTTAACTATGGGGATTATGCATTGAAGGACACTTGATATTAAACATATTATAATTAATTCTGAATTATAAATAAAAAATCTTAAGAATCTGGAAATTTTGCAAATTTATAATCTGATCAAGGTATTTTATTCCAATAAAATGTGAAATAATATTTTCCAAGTAGAATATCGATTTAATATAATTGGCATTTCGTCATTTTTTTTCCTTTATTCTTTATTGAATTCTTGGGTAAAATTAACTTTGACCCTCCTGCTCGATTGTGACCCTGAGGGTATTATTTTGAAGTAAAGAAAGCGTAAACTTTTGGTATAGATAGCGATCTAATAATAGTGGTAGAAGTTCTTGACATTTTGAATCTTATTTAGAGGAAGAGTTTACCAGTTGAAACTTTCAATAAAGTTTCACTGAAAGTTTCAGAATTCATTGATAACTTATGTCTTTTAATAACACTGTCCAGTTACTTTTTTATCCAATACCTTACATTCTACTTAATTTCACGACGATAATCAAAATAGAAATTAATTTGCAATGTAATATCCAAAGGTGGTTCTTAAAAGTGTTCATCTGTTAAGAACAGTTCTAATTACGAAAACAGGCATAAATAGAAATATTACATGAAAAGGATAGTTTAAACGACGAGGAAAAGTTCATTTCGCGAAACGCAAATTGTAATACATTGTTCGATGCAATTAGCCCGAGCAAAGAGGGCGGGCATCGTTTACGAAGAACGCTTATTACTTTCGTTACGCTTTACCGCTTCTTGAATCGAACCCCGTCGCTAATTACACAGAAGTTGCTTCTTTTCAACGAAAGACACGGTGCGATACACCGTGGAAGAAGAAGAAGAACTGCGAAACGTTTACACAGGAGACTTTAAACTCTCGTCGAGAGCGACGAACCTTTTGAATCTTATCCCTTCAACCCCTCACTTCACCTCCCCCGCCAATTCATCCTATTAGCAGACAGCACGGTTGACCTGTCTCAACTAAAAAGGAAGCCTTTATGTACTTTGCCCCGTTTGCTTGTACCGCGGAAACGGAAACAGCTACGGTGAAAGTGGCTATAATTAGCTACAAAAGAGACCAACTTCTCTTATCTATCCTGATCGTTAGATGGAAAAATTCAACATTTTTTCATCATTCGATAAACTGTTAAAATAACAGTTTTAATTAACCAAGACATAAGCGGAATTAATAATTTTGTGGATAAACAAAGCAGAGCATATTTTCAATATTTTCCAAGTGGTAAATTTCACGAATCATCTCTCAGTCTTTCTGGAGTTTTAATGAATAAGAAAAGTTAAATGTGGTAATTAAGTACAATTAGGGTGATTAATTTTTTGGAACGAATGATTACCTGGGAGATATGTCGCAACCTTGCTGCATGAACGCAGCTAATGCGAACCATAGGCTGTTTATGATGCTGAAATCGTTCGCCATGCTCGAAGTTGGCATATGGGGTGATCCCTGGGATCCATGGGGGTGTTGTAACGTGGGGTCGTTCCTTGTACCCATTGTAGGATCCCCTCCACTGCTCAGTGTTAACACCCTCCACTCGTAAGGCGAGAATCTGTGTGAAAGGGTTAAATAAACGTCGACTATGTTTACCTTCAGGTACTTGTATATCTTGATTTTAAAAAAATAATTTCGATGCTCTAGTGGTTGAGGTATAAAATTTATTACTATTCTGTGGTTTAGAACAGTTGATTTACACTTTAGAGATCAGAAAGTTAACGTGAAATATTTATAAAACATGATTTTCTTATTCTGATAGAACTTGAACTTTTGGTGACACTGAAAGTTGCCGGAGGGGTGAAAGTTTTGAAAGTGATTTTACCTCCTGAAGTTAACACTGCTGGAAAAATACCATATGTTTCTTCAAAAGTTGCAAAGTTTTATCATTGTCGAGGAAGAAAAGTATAAAATATGCTGTTATAAAATTTTTACATAGTATTGATTATTAATGTCCAATCTTATTAAATTTAAATAAAATATATTTGGAATATTAGTAACTGAATCATTTATTTATTAATTTTTTTCTCATCTTTTTGTACGGTATTTGTAAGATCAATAATTTGTATCAAAATAAGTAAGCGCTAAAAAACAAGTAGTACGCTTGAAATTTCCTTTACCGTCTGACCATATACCGACCGTAACTACTGCGGTCCGAGGAAAACAGCTATCAGTCACTGAAAAATGATCACTTACCTGGACACGGTAAATAGAACGATGGACACGCCGATGTAGGAAAAGATGACACACACCCAAATTTCTTTGCTCAAAGGGTTTAGGAAGCTGAACACACCAGGCTTTTGTTTAATAGGTTTCTTTATCATGATACTGATACCCAGAGACATGAACGGTTTGCTAAAGTCTATCACTCGTTCGCGTTCAGACGTGATTGTCATTGGGGCAATTGCAATATCCGCTTCCTGTAACAGTATCAAAATTATTACAGATTTCGTAAAAAAATAAATAATATCATTAGGGGTTGAAATATTCTTATATTGAAAATATAATATTTTTGGAGGTAGAAATATTCTTGTATTGAAAATGTAATATTTTTGAGGGTAGAAATATAATATTTGCTCTTTCGAAGCTCGTCCACCAGATGTAGTTGGAAATAGAGCAAAGGGGTTGCATGGTTCAGGCATCTGGTGGAAGAACTTCGGACTTTCTGCTGGAAGATAAAACAGCTTGTTCAGCTTTCGTTTCGAGTCGAAGTACACCGATCAATAGTAGAATCTTTCGTCGTAACTGTGTGAAATTGTTCGGGTCGGGTTGCAGTCACCACTTCCGGGGTGTTCCGCTTTGGAAACGGTTCGAATCGTCGCGATTAGCATCTCTACGAACTTACTTTGCGTATCAGCTCGCCGACCATCCCGTCCCAACCGCCGGGAACATCCGGGTTTTCCATGCCGTATTTACCATCTTTCACGATCCGTAGCTCGTCTGGAAAATCGAAAGGAATCATAGTTATTATCTGTAACAGAGAATACGATGGAACTTTTATCGTATCTCCTGAAAATCAGCATATTTCGAGGGAAATGCTAATGATTCATCTGCATTATTGAAAAGAGAAATATTGAGAATGTTATTTTTGGAAATTATGCAATGATTCTATTCGAATTTTCAGATGTTCATAAACAAAAAAAAGAAAATATTAGTTGGACAAGAAAAATTCAATTATGCAAAAATTTTTAATAATATGGTACTTTTGAATTAATCAAGAGTGAAGTAATTAAATAGACATTATATTTCTTATACAATTAACATAATCGGAATTTGTTGCTAATTTTATGATTCTTCTATCAATTAATTACTAATTAATCGAGAATTATCGTGATACTTGCAATTCTCGAAGCAGCTATATGGTAATATAGAGAGTGTATAGATGAGACGGTGTGACTTAATTCAATTTAATTAAGTTTGTTAGTGCTCTGGTACTGTGAGCACACGTTCCCTGTGTAATTAGCAAATGGAAGTGTGATTTAAGCGTTAATTCTACTATTCTCTCGGTTTAGTATTTCGTGAGATATTTCGTTGGAAATTAGATTAAACACGAGAGTGTTACAATATGTAGCATTTGGGAATTATATAATTTAATTAAATTTGTTAATACAATATTTACAATTTAATTGAGGAAATTGCCATCATTGCCATTTGTTAACACCAGAAAATTTGATTAAAAAATTTACCAATTAAAAAACAAATAATGTTAGAACCTTCTAATATCAAAATGTTATAAGATGTTAATTTTTCATTATTACAATTAGCGATAATACTTACACGTTATTCCCAATTTCTTAGCTATAAGATCAGCTAAATCTTTGCAATAACCCTCGTAGCTATCATTTCCAGTGAGTACTTCTCCGTTTTCCGACTTTTTCTTCATGATGTATGGCTCTTCCTGTATTAAAAAATCAATTTCTCAGTATATCTCTAACATCTTAACACAATTCCTATGAAACGAATACACCCTATTAATGAGGGAAGTAATCAATATTACCCAGTTTCTTTTAATTGGGACATTTTATTCTATCGGTTAAGCGATGAGAGCGTGATTAATGAAGAAAAACTTATTCGTATTCTGCAAATTTTTATTCTGATGATATTAATAATAAAAGTGATTTAGAAGCAAAATAATATAATTTTTAATTACTAAATATTATAAAATTTAGTGCATAGCTGAGAAATATGAAACGTTTATAGGTAAGTGGTGGGGGAACCATGAACTTATTATATATACGAGGCCCCTTTCACCACAGTATCACTTTCCCCGAGAATAGCTACAGGGAAGAGTGGGAGCCCCGAACGTCGTTTCCCCCGGGGAAACCTAATTTGATCACCAGTGTACGTACATAATCAAATACTATGGAAAATACCATGAAATTTAATTTCTTACCACGATGGTGGTGACAATATAAGTCTTGTTCTTCTCAATTTCCGCATGCGGTCGAAGTCGAATATATTTCGCGGCGATCGCTTGAAACCCAGCCTCGTCCGTCCATTCTGCCACCTCCAAAAACAAATCAGAAAGCATCGATAAATTGATCACATTCGAAATTTATAAACCACATTAAAAAAAAAAAAAAAAAAAAATCGTGAAGCTGAAAGTGCATGAATTAAAACAATTCGATCATTTATATTTTGAAACGTGTTTCGTACAGGATAGAAATTCGAATATTTGTGACACGACGAGAGGACACGCGGCGGGTTGGTAGCACGAAAAAAGGCAGAAAAATATTTACTTTGACCATGGCACTGTTGACCGTCATCTCGACGACGTGGAGGGTGTAATTGTGCCGTCGACCATCATCGTTGAAGCGTATCTCACCGGTCAGTCCCTCGATTTCCACCTGAAAGTTAAATATATACAACCGATGTCAGCCTCGAATAGCATACACGCGTGTGGGTGGGTCTGTGATAAAGTGATGCACGTTTGTAAATATATTCAGTCGTTGATTCCTGGAAATTGAATCCTTTCTAACAATTCTCCACTACTTTCAGTCTTGTTTAATCGATACCCATTCTCTGATTTTATTTATTCCACTGATTGTATAATTTTCAATGTGTCTACGTTCACAAATTCCATATTCACCTAAGGTTCTAAAAAAAATAATTTTATTTTTGTAATTTTATTTACAAGGAATGTATTTATGGTAACGATTAATCATACGTGTAATACGCTACGTTCCTCAGTGTTACGGATGAAAAATTTGCATAATGATCCGCCTGATATTGACAGACATTATCGTGTTCGATTCTGTCGCGCGACAAGCGAACGATCAACGGAAAAGGGACAGACATTTTCGGTGTAAACGTGTGATTGTATGTACGTAGAGAAACGAAGGGAGACAGATCTCACGTCGACATAGGAATGCCGGTAGAGAGTCGGAATAACCGCCAATTACTGTCAATAGCAGAGGGACGTCGGGAAGAGTCCCTGGCAATTTCGGTTGCCACGCTGTTCGAAACATATCGACTGTTTCTGCATTTCTATCCGCAGCTCATAGAGTAAGAATTTCGAGACTGATCAACTGCTGCAACTTTCTTATCCATCAGATTTATAATTATTTCTGTTTTATTCAGAATTGGATTAAGATTTCTGGAACCCAGGCCTATCAAATCCTTTTAGTTGATAAACTTGCTTCAAAAATAAAAATTAATTTCAAATAAAATTAAATAATATTTCATTTAATATTTTTTAACATAGTAATTGGAAAGGTCCTTTTTAGACTTCCCCTAAATTCAGCGATGGTTTTAATTTTTAAAAATGCTCACCTTTCTCAGTAACCTGGAAATTTTGTCGCCATACTCGAACGGTGTCACCCATCCACGGCTACTGTTGCAATCCAAAGCCCTGGTACCGTTTGTAATCTGATTACTGCCCGGTATCCCAGTTCTCCTCACGTTACTTCTGTCCGGCTTTTTTCTCAGAAACTTGTTGAACGCCTCGACCAGAACAAACACAGCGTCATACATCAACGCTGCTTGTGCCTAAGGCGAATAACATCGTCGAATTAGTATTAGAATCACAAACCAACAAATTATTACAGTTTCAGAATTTTTCTTTTGCAATTTTATACACATCCGATGAGATTCTTCTAGACTTAAATTATAATTAATCAATAGTGTTGCAAATAATGGATGAAAAGAACGAAAGGTTGGAAGTATTGAAGAGTAAAATCGACATTCGAGATCCGTCGTTTAAATTGGTCTTGGAGCTTTCACCTTTGAACGCGGTCACTCTACTCGAATTACAGATCCCAGTTTGATTTTCCTGTGTGGTCGATGAATCGTGGTGGCTCTTACGCGAGCAATTGAAAAACAAGACGGAAACCGGAGTAGACTAGAAAATTGGAGTACTCGAAGTCGCTCTTGACGATCAGTCTAGTTCAAATATTCGTCTAACCCTTGGAAAGACGACTAAAGCCTGCTGGAGACTGCTAAATAGCGAACTTATTGGAGAAAGCTGATATTGTAGGGATTATTTTGAAATAAATCGTACTTGTCAGACTATTAGATCTCTTGAACACTCACGAGTTACACAATTTTTTCATTCTTTCAATAAATTATTGAAATTATAATATTAAAAATTGAAGGGTAGAAACGGTACGTACGGAAATGGATTCGCGACCAGCTCCTTGAGAATTTGCTGGGTCAAGTCGATGCCAACTGGCTAAGAAATCTTTGACGTAGGGTCGTGTAGCGTCCACGATGCGAAAACCAGTGATATTTATGGCTCCGTATTCGATCACCTCGCTTTCCCATCTGTCGTCCATTATCTAATCACACAAAAACAATAGAATTATAATACAAAAATATTTGATGGATCAGGGTTTCTTTCGATAACTCAGAAATTCTAATTCGTTATGAAATAGTAAATTAAAAAATTAATTTGTTAGCATACTCACCAGTCCACTTAATAAATAATGATACGTTCTCTTCCCTAGGGCAACATCCCTCACGTGGCTCACCACGATGTCCTTCGCCATGTCCGTAGGACAGTCCAACACTACGTATTTGTTGCTCCACCTGTGAATTATTCGAATACTTTCATCGTGTCTTTTTCGAAAAAGAAGCCGGGGTAAGCGAAGAAATTTTATTTTATATTCGAGATTTAATTATCTCTTTCTTTTGTCAACGAAGTTATCGCGCGTTTTCTGAGAACGTTTCGCGTCCCGTTTTTGGTGACTGCACTATTTACTCGATACTGGCTCATTGTCCGGAATGGTTGTTGATTACCCGGGTCGTGCAAATGCGTGGCCGGCGGTAAATTGCGGCCAGATACGCGGTGACCACTCGTGCTCCCACTAAAGTGTGATCCGTCAGATTGTCCGAATGCGGACAGAATTTACCATCCTCCAAAAATAATACCACTAGCGCGCGGACACGTATAGAGAACATTTAGTTCCAAGATATTTACCTTGTAAGTGATATTCACTTACCTTTGCAAGATATTCACTTTATATTTATTATATTTCAATATTTTGTAAATTGACAAAAAAGGGGTTGGAAATGGAGCTATTAATTCGGAGTGGGTACTCGAGATATTCGGGTACCTGTAAAATACTCGGGTAGCCGAGAGACTAGTCGGTCTTCTCAATCTATTGAAATTTGAAATTTTTCTTTTATTTCGATTTTCGAATCTCTACTGTTTCATATCTCATGACACATCCACCTACTCGGAAAATTTTTCTTTATCAGGGTATCTCACAGGTAATTCAAGTATCCGCGTATCTCCTAAATTATAACCCCAGTCGAAAGGATTGAAAATATCAAATCTCAATAATTTTCTTAATTATTTTGTCGAAAATCGAAGTTTCTCACAGGTAATTCAAGTATCCGCGTATTTCCTAAATTAGAGCTCGAATCGAAAGTGTTGAAAATATAAAATTTCAACAATTTTCTATATTATGTCGTCGAAAGTGGAAGTTTTGATAGAAAATAAAGTCACCAAACTCACCGATTGAGCTCTTCCAAGCTCCGGAGAAAATCAATCGCTTCGGACATGTTCTGTATTCGTTTAACAGTCTCCACTTGAAAGGACTCGTTGCCTGGTTTCAGACCCTGGTAAATCTGTTGCAGCCTGAGCAATCCTGAAACAAGGAGGAAATTGATCGTCGACATTGATCGTTTTCTAGTTCGCAAAATCCTTGGTGAACGCGTTTCGTCGCGGTTTACCGCTCGTCATTACGTATTATATTGCAGTGTATACACTTTCCGAAAACGACTTTGCACGCGATTGCACGTAACATTGTCCGTAATTCATTGGCAGAGTGTTTGGTTTGCGGTTCGCGTCGACACCGAAACGTTACATCGGTGATTGGAGCGAAACCACTTCTGGTTTTGTAATTGGACGACGCGGACCGTGTAATGCGTTCTCTGATAGGATGATACGATTTTTAATTATTGATCTTTTTATTTTCATTTTTATATATTAGCCAGCAATCTAATAGAAACTAAAATCACATAGAGAAAAGATTTTAGTTTTTCATATGCAATCTCAATTTTTCTGATTGCAGCAGTTAAATGGCACCCTGTAATTACATACCTCTGCTTTTCATTTAAGACTATAGAGTCATTATACATTACAATTATTAACCTTAACAAAGACCAACCAAAGTACCTTTGTTACACTGCCCTCCACATTAATGTCTCATTCTATTGTTCTTTCTTCAAACAACTTACATTCATAACTTCTCTCACGTAATATCATCATAACACTCCCCTTTCAAAAATAATTCATCCCCAATTTCAAATATTCCATTAATTTCGTCAAATCTCTTTCAAATAAAAAGGGTTGATTTGTAACGTAGAATCTCGTTGAAATTGAACCGAGTCGAGTCGCATTCGAACCGTGTGTATCGAAGAAGACCGCTGTTAAATGCTTTCCTGTTTGCTAACGTGATCGTTTCCGGAACAATCGGGGATTCGCGGTCAAAGAATCGACCGATCCGCGGCCGCGACTGGATTCACGTAATGCAAAGGGTTGAAAACGGAGGGCAGGCTGGGTTGGTGGAAAAAAAAAAAAACGAGAGTCAGGAATAAAAGGACGAACAACGGGTGGAGGGATGCCCGGGCGAGAGGGGGTGGAAAAGTCAACAGGGGGCTACGTTTGAAGCTGTCGTCGCTGCTTTTTTGCAGCGCCATGCGTGAAACTGATGGCCGGGTTAACGAGCGCTCTGCGCGTGTAAGCCCAGCGGCGCGTTATAAAAGAGCTTGCATTTCAACGAGCACCAAGCCGGAGCTTTTCGTGAACATTGTCCCCCCTCTGCCGGTCCCATTTTCTTTCCCGTTTCCCGTTTCTTGCGACAACAACGTCGCGCAACCTTCGACGATCCACCCAACTGACCCGGAAACCAACAACCCTTCGTGGCCACTTCCGGCGAGCATGCAGCTGTAACAGACTTTTCTTGAATTTTTCAGCTAAAAAACTGCTCGACGCTGACGAGATTTCAAATGCGTTTGCAATTTTCAACGTTACAAGTTGCAAGTTTTAATAACTCGAGTTCAAAATATGTAGTTTTTCTTTTTTAAAAATGTTAGCATATTTAGTTTTGTTATAAATATTATTATAACACGTATCATAGGTCAATTTCACTGTTCATTGTTCGCTTCGAGCTTTAAATTGAGATATCGTAAGTGCTATTCTGTGATAATTTTATGTTATGAAATTGTATCACGCTTTCTATGTTCTGAAATTGCCCGTTTCATATTCAACAATTTAATGATTTGGTTAATTAAAACTACTGATTGTCTAGCTCCCATAATTAACGAACGTTCAAATAATAATGTTCTTCTGTCATTGTCAAAAGATATTTATCTGACAGAAGCATCGGATTCGTTAAAGCATTGGCGAAAGCCATTTTCTTTTGTACGAAGCGTTTCTGTTCGCTTGGTATAAGTCAGGTGTTTTCCGTTCACAGCGATTCTGTTCTTTGTTCGACTATTAGAGAAGGCTGGTAGGTAGGAACGCATTACGCTAAAAGCGTACGTTTGTCAAGCGATCATGCTCGACAGAAGCAGCGGCAACGTAATAATAGACAAATTAGTCGAAGGAACCAGCTCCTGCGGAATTTCATTTCGAGACAGCCTTTGAAACCCTAGCATGCTTTCAACTTTGAAAATACTCCACGAATCTTGTTCGAACACACCCGTTCCCATCTCTTCTCACTCTTCTTCCTTCGCTTTTCTTTATTCTTTTTTCTTCTTTTAGTTTTTCCCCATTTCAAAATTGTTTTTCGATTACTTTCGCTCTATTTATGAATTTGGAAATTAAGGATTTGGAAATTTTTCAAAATTAATTAATATTATAAAATAAAATTGCTTCTGTTAATATTTCAATTTTATTAGACTGTTAGAAATGTTATCTCTCGGAGGACAGACCATGGAGAGGATCACAACTTTAATTTAATTTTGTTTCACATTATTTTAATTTTGTCATACTGTTCTTTTAAAATTATTCTTTCAATATATGAGAGGCTTAACTTTAGATCAATATCCTTCTGTATATTTTGTAAGTTTTTCGTCACGATTGACCCAGATTGCATATTTCAAGGGTTAATAAATCGTCTTTCTTTTCAAAGCAAGAATTCTGGATTCATTTCTAGATCTTTTCTGTATTCCTTTGTCTCGTGTGTCTACTTTTACTTTTCTCTTACAATTCACTCGTATCAAAAGAAAAGCTAATGAACTTTGAAACGATACGTATAATTGACTTTATCGTGTTCCATCTGTCTGAATCGTTTCACGGTGTCTCCAAGGATTCGTACGCGGCTTCGAGATCGCTGCCGATCGATAATTGAATAATCAGGTCCTCGAATGTGATAATTCGATTCTCATGTTCTCCCTTGTTTTCGTCGTTATCTTCTCGAGTGTTCAAGAGTGCACTTTTCATCTTGTTACTGAAAGCAGCGTTGTTCTATTCGTTTCGGTTCTATCGAACTGCTATTTTATCCCTGGTAAACATCGAACCTTTCGTGTACATTTTACTTGTTTTCGAAACTTTGGCTGCTTGAAAAAGGATCCAGTGCTCGACCTATTTTTTAATTAGCTTATTCACGGACTCTCCTCTGTTCGAACAAGTTTGCATTCAATATCGTACCAGATTTCTGGTTAATTAGTATCGCTGTTTTGTAACCCTCGCACAAACTTGCATAATTGCAACCGTGTCGTCTTGTTTGAATTGGTGATAATTAACATTGTTGCGTATCGATTCGTTATAAATGATGAATTTTTTTTTCGTTTTCATTGTAATATTATTAAAATAATCAAACTTTCTGCTGATGATCAATGGAAGGGTTTTTTTTTCATTTCGATCCTAAGACAGACAATCGTGAGTAGTAACAAGCATAGGAGGAGTTCTCTGACGCGAGAATTCAACGATCAACGATCCTCGCGAATGGCTGGAGGGATGAACGCATACGGCACGTCAGCTTCGCTATGCGAACAATCCTGTCTGCCGCCTCATACAGAAGCTCTGCGGTTTCTCGTGCCGTGTACTTCGAGACGGAAATGCCATCGCGACTGCCGGAAACTAACGTCGAAATAGACGACAGTGGCGATAGTCCCTGGCATCGACTGTCGTCTGATTCTATCTGCGGTAAGCCTCGTTGCCTCTTGCTTCAAGTGAACAATTTCTTGTTCTCCCAAGCGGTCAGTATCTTTCTAATGCCAGAAGTTTTGAAAATTCATCAACAGAGTAAAAAGATATAGTACAAGGATGATTTGAGGGAAGATTATTTAGAATTAGAAAATTAAATGTCGTGTTGAAACACATTGATTTATTAAGAATTTTCAAAAGTATAATTTGTGTTCCTTGTGCTGAAAGTTCTGAGAATTCATCAATGAAATAGAAAGATATAATGCAAGGATGGCTTGAAAGAATTAGAAAATAAAATGCGATGTTGAAACACATTGGGTTATCAAGTGTTTTTAAAAATATAATTTATGTACTTTGCAATGAAATAAAAAGGTACAGTATAATACAAGGATGATTCAAGAAAAGATTACTTAGAATTAGGAAATTCAAAATTAGGTCGAAATACTTTGAATCATTAAGTGCTTTTAAAAATATTAACAGAAAAACAATTAACAGAATGTGAAAGCAATGTGCTTAAAATCTTTGAACGGAGAACAATATCGAGGAGAATCCTTTTTAACCACGTTATGGCGGTGAGTAGAATTTCCATCGGTAAACATTTTACCGTGTGTGTTCACGCGAAGGAAAATTTCCTCGCGAAGATTCGCGCGTGCGTCAAGTCGAATTTTCCTCGCGGCAGGATCACGGGAGGGAAATTTTCTCTAAAAGTTCGCGTCAAGCGTAATTTCATTTCAAACATTGGCACGAAACAAAATTTTTCTCGCAAACGTTCGCGGCAAATGATCTTGCTCTGGCCTGGTTTTTATTCAGCCCGTCGTTCACGACGTAGCTCGGGGGGCCAGCGTTGAAACGGATTGTTTGCCCCACGGTTCGATTTTTAAAATATTCCGACCTTTATCATCGGCATTCCAACTTGTTTCTCTTTCTTTTTTTTGTATATATATATATATATTTTTTTTTTATTCGTACCCTGTTATTTATTCCGTACAGGAGGCGCAATATTTTTTGTTTCTCCGCGCGCGATGAATGTTCGCCTCGTGCACGTTTTACGAAACGAGTCACGTTCTAAACAACAGTAAATATACGAGTTACAGTTGTTATTAGACTGTGAATATTTATGCATTTATGACGTACGAAAAGGAAGAGGGAAAATAAAAAATTTCACGATAGATGTTACACGAGAGTACAGAGAGGGTTGAAAATCAATACGTCTCGATCCTCTGAATTACCTAATATATTTGCAAACGGTCATAAACTTGAACGATTGACGGAAACAGATCGGTACAAAGGTCGAGCTAGTTCGGACAGAGGATCACAAGGGTACAGTTAAATTCGGCTTCTCGTAGAATCATCGATCTCTGTTAGGCGCGAGCCGCGTGTCACACGTTGCGTCGCCCATTAACGCGTAACGCCGATTATCGATCGTATTGTCAACGCCTTTGACGGGGTAGTCGGAAAACCGATTGGAACACGGTCTCGCGACCCGTCGAGAGA